GCTATGGGGGTCAGATCCTCAGGAACTAGAGTTACAGACAGTTGTGAGCTGCCATGTGGGTGTTGGGAATTGAATCTGGGTCCTCTGGAAGAGCAGTCAGTGTTCTTAACTGCTGAGCCATCTTTCCAACCCTCTCATCCCAACTTCTTTAAAGGGAAAAAAACGAAACATTAAAAGGATGCTTACACTAAAGGCCTATTTATTGGTAACATTATCAATACAGCAAGGGTACTGAACAGTGATGGTGGCCAGCCCCTGCTCCACTGTCCCCAGCAAAGCTAAGTTCCTCCAATCTGTTCCACTCCTACCACCTGACAAAAGTCTTCCACACCCTCCAGAGAGGTTTCTTGTATCTATAAGGTTATTGATGTTTGATTGGTTGGGTCTGTTGCTAGCCTGGAACTCAGGGACAGTTTCACGCATCCATAAGTCTATTGATAACTGATTGGTTGAGACTGGTACTAGACTGGTGATGACTGATTCATTGACTGATTGGTTGGGTCTGGTGCTAGACTGATGATGGTTGATTGGTTAGGTCTGGTGCTAGCCTGGAACTGGGAGCAGGGCGGGTTTGCACTTGGTAAGCAAGTGTTCTGCCATGGAGTTACACCTCCAAGCCTTCATGCAGGCTTTTTAGAACTCCCAGGTCAGCTGGCCAGAACCCTTTGCTTCACTCCAGAGGCTATCCAATCCCTCTTTATTATAAAAGTGGCTTCTACTGTTACGGGGAGCCCACAGAGATGACCACTCAGATACAGTTTATAGTCAACTGGAAGTCTTTATTCCAGCTGGCTGGAATGACACTCACATATTTGGGACCCAAATGTAGTGCCAAGTGTTTGAGCAAGGGTTTTGAAAAGCAAAACCACATCCTAGTATCTCACTTGGCAGCTGCAGAGGAGGTTTTGAGCAATCAAGCAATTTAGCAGAGGCCAAGATAAATTAGCTTGGGCATTCAGGTTCCTAGAATAGAGTTGGGTAATTTTTCGTGGGATTGTCCATCAAGGAGATCAAATTCTAGTCAAACCTGAAATGGCCTGAGCAAGAATACAAGATGGAGGAACCTCTGCCACACTGCTATGACTGGAGCCCACCTTGGAATGAAACATACCCAGGTTTCATCTCCTGCTGGGACACGATACTTTCCCAAACCACAGACCCCTGAACTGCACAGACGGGAAGAATAGAACATCCCCCTGAAAGCGTGCGTTCGCATTGGCTTGGGCGATCTGGTTCCCGGGTACTTGCTGGAGTGCCTGCCCTTGACTGTAGATTCTCCCAGGAGAGTCACTGATTGGATTAGGCCTTTTGCTGAGTTTACGGAAGAAAGAGTTGGGGAAGCAAGTCTCGGTGGGAAGAAGAGGAGCAATGGTAACTGAGGGCTTGCTCTGTGGTGGACTCTCGGGGGTTTAAACCACATCAAAACCCTGGGAGCAAGAGCTCATGCGATCCTCTTTCACCAAGGAAGAAACTGAGGCCAGGAAGGATCAAGGGCTCAGGCAAAGCCACGTATTCATTAAGAACAGAGTCAGGAGGAAACCCACGAACCCTGTTCAGAGTCCAAAGTCTTCTCTGATGGACTATGCTGTACTGTTTTATTCTGAGGCAGGATCTTGCTATCTATCTCACTCTGGCCTTTAGTTCATGATCCCCCTGCCTCAGACCCTGACATCTCCAGAGTTCTAGGGTTATCAAGATACCACCACATTTTACTTAACTGTACTGTGTTGATCTGAGTTCTCCAAAGAGCCAATCCCAAGAAAACACACTTAAGAGATGCACTGCCTGGAAGGGAGAGGTGAAGCAGACAGTAGAGGTGGGTCCTGTCAGAATATGGACTATAGCTGTGCTGCAAGAGAAGACCTGACGTGGAGGACGGAAACTCTAGAGCCACAGCTCTGAGGAAGGTCAGCCGATGATTATCCTCAGTCCAGTTGCCCCAAGAGGAGGCCCACACCAGAACGGTCCTGCACCTTGCTTTGCTACAGGTGGTAACGACCCAGGAACTCTTCCTAGGTGTCAGTACAGGTTGTTAAACATTGAGCCTCCATAGAAAAAAATGAAGGGAACAAACACTGAGTAGGTGTGAACGCCCAGAGCAAACGTAATGTCCCATCTGGGCACACAGTGTGACAGAGCAGCGACAGTGGCCCAAGGAAGGCCATTCAGAAACCAGTGGTGATACAGTGAGGGGTACAGGAACACGTCTACAGAGGAGCAAGCACCAGGCACGATGGGAGCTGGAAAGATGGCTAGGTGGGCAAAGTGCTTGCTGTGTAAGCATGAGGACCCGAGTTCAGATCCCAGGATACACGGAAAAGCTGGGTTCTGTGGCCGCATTTGTAACCCCAGCACTAGAAGAGGGAGAAAAGTTGGTTCAGGAGGGTCACTGGCCAGCTAGTTTAACCTGGACAGTATACTCCAAGTTCAGTGAGAGACCTTGTCTAATAAACAAGGTAGAGAACGATAAAGACATCCCACATCAGCCTCTGGCCTCCACACACTCATGCACACACACACACAGGCAAGCATGCACACACGCACATACATACATACATACATACACACACCATGCACATACAAAAGAATACACACAAACTTAGCATGTAGTGTATGGCTGTGATCCCAGCACTCAGGAGGTAAACGCAGGGGAAGCCAAATTCAAGGTCAACCTTGGCTACATAGTGAGTTTAAAACCAGCCTGGGCTGTAGAAGACCCTGTCTCAAAGGAACAGAAAACACAAAGCTGATTGGTGAGAAATGGCATCTGGAGATAGGAAAGCCTGGAGCGGGTAGGACTGTCAACAGAGAGAAATGGTTTTGGAGAGAATCCCATGTGATTGCTGCTCAGGGCCCTCAGCAGCCCCGGTGCCCTGGGAATTGCGTCTTTCCTGGAGCCCAGAGGCTGCGCTCTGCCCTGCTGGTAGTTCATTTGGTGTGTCTGATAACAGGAATGAATTTTCTCAAAGGCAGAAACGGAATGTCACACTTTTGTGAGGCAGGTGATAAATGCTGTGTCTCAGGGGACCAGGTACCAATTAGGGCCAATTAAAACTGAATTCACCCATCATTTGGGAGCGGTAGATAATGGAACTCTCATGTCCCATGAAACTGTGCGTGTCACTCACGAGTTCATCTGCTCAGAGAATGAACTCCACGGGAAAATACTTGTAATGGTCACTCCTGAAGTTAAAAAGAAGAAGAAGAAGGAGAAGGAGAAGGAGAAGGAGAAGAAGGAGAAGAAGAAAGAAAAGTCCAGACGACTCAGTAGCTAGAGATACCTGGTGCCAACCCTGATGATCTGGTTAGAATACCCAGGCCCCACATGGGGAAGGAGAGAACTAAATTCTGCAAGTAGTCCTCACACCTCCACACACATAGTAAATGAATAAATGTCATAATAAAACTTTTCCAACTGACTCTTGCATTTTCCAGCACTTTCTATTATCAGTACTTAATTGACTTCCAACTGCTTCAACCTGAGCTTACGATGCTTCCAGACCACTGCTTGTGAATGTGGGCATTCAGAGCCACCTGCTCTCAGGACCGAGCGACTGAAGGAAGACTTACAGAGACTTGCCTAACTTTCCCCGTGGCTTTGCCCCACCTTTGAATAGTCCCCATCTTTTCAGTCTGTGATAAACGGGTAAGGAGGCACCCAGGAGCGTAACTGAGTCACCCGAGTAAAGAGCTTCAGGAAATTCTCTCAGGTGTCTCAGCGCCCTCTGGCCGGAGCTCTGCTGAAGCCCCCGGATCAATTTGAACCAAGCAGACATGCGTACTACGGGGCACGATTAGTTTCAAATCAGTTAAGCTCCTTGTGACATTATGATTAAGAACTGGAGATCCCCCATGGAGGGTCTCACCCTCCTGGGGAATGGTGTGGGGAATGGGTGGAGGCTTGTGGGGGTTGGTGGAGGGGCAAGGGAGAGGGAAGGGAGAGGGAGCTGGGACTGACATGTGAAGCAAGCTTGTCTCTAATTTGAATTAAAAATATATTAGAAAAAAATAAAATAATTTAAAAAATCCCAAAGTTCCAAAACGTTAGCATCAAAATCACGAATCACATGTGAGAAGTGAAACCTCCACCGAGAGTTCGGTAAGATCTCCCCAGGATCACTAATGAAACATCAGTGCACAAATGAGTTAAGAGTGATTCACAGGTAAACTGAGGCAGGTGGCTTCCTCAGGCTCAACAGGGATGAACCAAACAGACTTGCTTTCTGTTTTCACTTAAAGTTTCACTCTGTAGTTTAGGTTGGCCTAGAAGTCACTATGCAACCCAAGCTGGCTTTGAACTCATAGTGATCCTTCTGCCTCAGCTTCCCACTATGTGCAGGGACAAGTTGTTCAATGACCAGCCTGAAGTCATGTCAGCAGCAATATATCCTTGTGAAAATACATTGGGGTCTGGACCTTGTCCCTCCAGAACCCTGGAACAGAATACCTTTTTAAGCATGGCAGGGAAAGGGGGGGAAAAAAGCCAAAAGAGTAAATTAGAGTTTGCATTAAAATCATGTCATTATTTAAAATAACAATGGCTTACCCATCCTTTGGTAAGTCACCATTGGTCTTTGTAACTTCCCCACGAGGCATTCTACATTCTCAGTGTTTTTAGAGATTGAAGTACAGATGTTTAAAGTGATTCCCCCGGGATCACAGTGAGTAAGGGGCAGAGGGAGGCTTCAGTGGTGGTTTACCTCTTAGGTGGAGAGGCCCAGTGAGAGGCCCAGCATGGGTGTGTGACTTTATGCATCACTCCTTTTTACTGGAAAGAAAGCCTGGCCAGAAACCCAGCTGTTTCATTACTTTGTTTCTTTAGATCCTAGATCATGGGGGGACACAGGAGGTGGTGGCCCCCAGTGCAAGTCTCACAAAGAAACATTTAAAGAGTAACTAGCTGCCTCTCTGCTGGCCCATCACTTCTGAAGAAATGGCACATGAGCCATTGTCTGAATGACAAGAAGGTGCCAGAAACCCTGAGGCTGGCAAGAAGGGCAGTCTATGAGGAGGGGTAGCAGGTGAGAGGCATCACAGAAGAAGATGAGAAGCCATGTCCATAGAAGAAAAAGACAACGGTCTGAGGTATGGATCAAGATGGCCCAAACCTGGCCCTGATAGATGGCTCAGGGGATGCACTGTTTGGTGTGTAAGCATAAGGACCTGAGTTCAGGTCCCAGGACCCACCTAGAAAGCCATTCCCATCACTGCAGGGGTGGGGTGAGATGGAGGAAAAAGAGAATCCCTGGGGCTTCCTGGACAGCTAGCATAGCCTAATGGGTGAACTCCAGGTCCCAGCAATCTTCTCCTGAGGAATGATATCAAGGCATGCCTCTAGTCTCCATAATTACACACACACACACACACACACACACACACACACACACACACACACAGGGGGGGGGAGAAAGGGAGGGAGGGGGAGAGATAGACAGAGAGAGAGAGAGAGAGAGAGAGAGAGAGAGAGAGAGAGAGAGAGAGAGAGAGAGAGAGAGAACCTTCACCTTCACTATCTGGGCAAGATCTGGGAAAGGACCAGTAGTGCTGGGAAGTGGTCTAAGGAGACGACTCAGTCAATAAACTGCTTGCCTTGAAAGCGCCAGGACCTGTTTCATCCTCAGACATCACACAAGAAGCCAGATGTAGGGGCACACTCCTGCAGTCCCAGCAATAGTGAGGTAGGAGGCAGAGACAGACAGCTCCCTGGGGCTTACTGACTAGCTAGCCTAGCTTATGTGGGAAAGTTCAAGGTCAGTGGGAGACCCTGTCCCAAACCAAAGGAGAGGGGTTTTCTGAAAACACTAAGGTCATCCTCTGACTACCTAGCATGGGCAAACATGTGCACACACATTACCCCCCTCCATGTACACACACACACACACACACACACACACTTTTGTAAGGCACACACAGGAATCCCACAGAGTCTCTCAGGCAACTAGATAGGAAGCTACAGCTCTGCCGGTCAGGACAGCCACTCTCTACACCCGTGGTAGATGGTCAGCACAAACTGGACCTGGAGGGTTGTTAAGGGGGGGGGTAGAGTGCAGAGGTAGAAGTGGACCCCGAAGGGTCATGAGAAGGAACTGAGAGTAAATGTGATCAAAATACCTGGTATGAAATCCTCAAATAAGTAATAGATTATATATCTTAAAGTTAAAATCAACACACAGAAAATGAACGGCAGGAATCAAAGCTCTGGTAAAGCAGCTGGTTAAGTGACAGATTCCACCTGAATGGCCACTAACACTTCTTGTGCGAGTGAGTTGGGATGGCGGTCATTATGAGAACCAACAACTCACTTCCTGTTTCTCCCCAGGTGGACGGAGACTGTCCAGGGTACAGCACACTATGAGTGCCCTGTGCTGATGCTGTGCCTGGAAATTTGTACATGGGGCTTCACCTCACCCGGTGCCATCAGTTAGGCAGACTCAGCCAGCCCTCACCCCACTTTGTTGATCAGAAACTAAGGCACTCTCCAAGGACACATGGGAACCGAGTGGCAGAGGGAGCACTTTGCCCAGGACTCTAAGTCCTTCTGAAAGCCCATTAGCCACAGAAGTCACATCACCCTCTCCTCCAAGAGCAATCACCTCCATTGTGACAACTGGAACAAGTTGTAAGATCAGGTCCCGGGTCCCTGGGATGGCAGAAACAAAATTGATTTTCTTTAGGCCTTTCCCTGACCATCCTTCCAGGTTGAGTTCAAATTCTGTGTGCCAGGGCCCGGGGAACGGAAGAAGTCACAGCCTTTCTGAGGCTTTGAGATTTGCTAGACTTGAAGTTACTTACAGTAAGAGACAGGGAGACAAACTCCCTCTCTTGCTCACATGGATTCATGCAGTCAAGGCCACATCTGAGGGTCTGAAATGCCTCTCAGGTGCTGGGATCACAGCTGTGCACCATGTGCCTGGTTTTATACCATAAATCTTTTTTCACTGGAGTTCAGAACATCAGAACTTTAACGTCTCCCTTCCCTGGATTGTGTTACACCGTGTTCCTCTAGATAGTACAGGCAAGCTGACTTGTCAAATCAGAGAGTTCTGGCTTGGGATGTGGTTAGTATCTCAGAATTCTACCCTGCACAGACTGAGTGCTCTTGTCTGAGGCCCTAGGAGCTTGGCTGCAGTAGTGACCCTCCTAGCAAGCCCACATCTAAACCTGCACCATCTGACCTACAGAACTTTCTGACATGATTGTCCTTCAACTCCATTTACCTTAAAGCAGCATTCATTCAAAAAACCTCTTCTCATAGCCCTGAAGAACAAAACCAGGTTTAATTCCTGGACACCATTTTAGTTGGGGGGGGGGGGGGCTTCAAATTTACAAAACTCAACAGGATCGTGAATACCCATGCAGCAGCCTAGGGGTCCGCCTTCCTGTCCACCCCTATCCCTATGTGCATCTCGGAGAATATTTCATCTGCATCATTGTTTACAAAACACAAACCGTTAGCCTAACTTTCAGCAAATCTGAGTCTTTCCATAAAATCATCACTGGCTGAACACCACCGCAACTCCCATTTTCCTCGGCATGCGTTCTAAAAAGCCAGGGTTGGGGCTCCCCAAACCACTGAGGTGGGATGCGCCTCCCAAATTGTTTTAGGAAACAGCCCGAGGCTCTTGGGAAGAGTAATGCCTTCCCTCCGGTTTCCTTCACAGTCTGGAATGTAAAAGCCAAACCCAACAGCCAAGGGTTTGCCAAGAACTCCAAAAAGACGATCACGTGTCCAATTACCATGGCGACGCGGTGACAAAGGGAACTTATTCCTGCTGTTTAGACAGAGCAATCCTGCAGCCATCAGGAGGAAAGGGAGACAGGCCGCCTGCGGTCACGCACACCTGACTGTCGCCCACGCAGGGCTCGCAGGCCGCCGGTTGTCAGCACCTGGGATTAGCGCGTGAGCTCCTGCGGGAAACTGGGCTGGCTTCAGCGCCAGGACAGCTCGGGGAGCCAGGCTCTCCTCCTTATTCTCCAATGGCTCAGCAGACGGCTTTAAGATGACTTCAACAGAGGACTCATCTGAAGTGTGTTTTATTAGTTCTAGCATTATTTCATCCGGTTTCAATGCGGGTCATTTACATGATGAGCCTTATGATTTGATTAACCCCGGGACAATTCCGAGACTGCTCTCCTGACACGAACGCAGTATTGGATTTGTGGTCTAAAAGGGCAGGCTTTCCAGTTAGACACCCTCATAAATCAAGGTACCAGAGACTCAAGGATAGACGGCCCCACGTTTAAAATAACTGGATTCGGGCCAGCGAGATGGCTCAGTGATTAAAGACGCTTTCCACTAAGCCAGACAAGCCTGAGTTCGGATCCCTGGACCCTACAAGGTTGAAGGAGAGAAATGACTCCCGCAAGTTGTCGTCTGACCTCCAAATGCCCAAATGTGTATTTGTACAGAATAAAAATAATGAAGTGGCCAGTGCCTTTAATCCCAGGACTCAGGAGACAAAGGGGGTTGAATCTCTGAGTTTGAGTCTAGCCCAGTCTTCTGAGCAAGTTCCAGGACAGCCAGGACAGCATGCAGGAGGCTCTTGATCCAACCTCCACCCCAAATAAAATACATGCATGTGCTATATACAGAAACTCCTCATAGGAAATATTGCTGGTGCTCTGACCCTATCCAGGTGGCTTTATTGGTCCTGGGTTCATGCCCAGCAGCAGCTATCAACCTGAAAAAGGCCACCTTAGAAAATGCTCCTTGGGTGGGGTATTCTAGAGTGCCCCCTAGAGGTCATAAGTGGGACCAAGCTGAGGCATCCCCAGGTTATTCATTCTGTCTCTTTGTCTCTCTCTTCCCTCCCTCCTTACCCCCTTTCTCTTTCTCTCCCTCCCTCTTTTCCCCCTCCTTCTCTCCCTACTCTCTCTCCCCATCCTATTTTCCTCCTTCCCTCTATCTCTCCCTCCTTCCATCTATCTCTCCCTCCTTCTATCTCTTTCCCAAATCCTTTTCCTCTTCCTTTTACTTTATATTAATGTGTATGACCAGTGTATTCTGGAATACTTACAGCCCAAGGCTGACTAGATCTCATCCCCCACCCAAAACACAGTCTGGGGGTAGCTTCCAGGGAAACTCAGTCAGGGGCAAACATGCGGAGACCAGTCTGGAACTGGCCATCTTAACTGTTGGGTAGTGGCCTGAGCCCTCCCTTGAGTATTTGAGGTGAGAGACTGGAATTTTTCATTAAGCCTGTATGGAACTTTTTAAAAGTATACTCATATATATGCCATTCATCTTTTTAAAAACACACATAGTAAAATGTGGGTTTTAAAAATAGAAAGTATTTCTTTTAGAATGTCACACCATAAGTATTATTCCAGCTAGGATTTGTCTTACAAGGAAAGATACTAGGTTTTGAAGCTTTTAAATGGCAGTTTAGGGTTAGGTGGTTTTCAATGTTTAAGCCTCTGGTTGCATTTTTCTAGAAGGCTAGGTGGCCCTAGTGACATCCAGATCGCTCCAGAAGAGGGGTTGCTGGATGGAAGCAGAGCTCAGAGCCCTGGCACCCCATCTGTCTTGTTTCCTCCCCAGCCTCCTCTTTCACGTCTTTACCGATGAGATATTCGGAGGGATCCCCGCTCTTCCTAGACTACCAGGACAAGGACTAAGCCTGGCCGTGCTCTGCTGAGCTCTTCTACGTTGCTGAGCGTGTTATCTGGGCCTTCGTTAAGCCCTTTTCTGCAGACGCCCTTTGATGTTTTTCTGTGAATGAATGAAGCTGTTGGGCATGGGCTGTTTGACAGACTCCTCCTTTGTGCCTGGCAACCTGGAGCAAGGAACTACCCAGACAACGCTGCACTCCAGCTGGAAGGGGCACTGTAACCATGGCTACTGAAGACACGACCTAGCTTCAGGAGGCCTCATTCTAGTGACAGCCCGCACCAGGTCAGGAAACCTCCATTCCAGACAAGCGAGCCTTGGCCACATGAGAAGACCCCAGTGACAACCCTGCTACTCCAGAATCTGCCTCCTGTGCTCTGGATCTTGTGGAAGCTGTCTTCGGTCATGCCCAGAAGAAGACCACTCTTCTCATGACTCAGTATGTGATCATCAGATGGGAAAGCTGTGCTTACGTGGGCTGTGATTGGTCCTGATAAAACAGGAAGTTGTGCTGTGTTAGTCAAAAGCTAATAATCATCTTTGCATGCCCCCTTGCCTATGGCTACATAGCTCTGCTGTTTAATTCCCTCTTGCAGTCAGCGGAGAGACACCTGCCTATGCTGCCCCTTGGGATGCAACGTTAGAGCCAACAGAAGGCTTTTCTGAGTAGAGGTCTTTCATCTGCTTGTTCCTGGTAATGCAAATCAGAGGTGGCAGTGGCTGAAGAGATCCAGAAGGCATGTGAGGAAGGACTTTGGAAGTGGATAGGAAACGCTGAAAACTAAAGGAGGGTGGAGTGGATTCCCGGAAGGGCATAAGGAGCCAAAGGTCAGGAGCTGTAACATGAGTTGCTGTTAAGGTCGCAGAGCTCCAGGGAGCTGTCACACTGGCCATACCTGTTGCCACCATCGTGTGAGCTGCTGCTATGAGTCAGGAGTTTCTGGCCACTGAGTATAGCCCCACTGCCAGTCAAGGCCCAGAGTAGCTCACCTACTCACCTTAAGCTATCAGCCTCCGGCATGTAGAGCTTGGAGCCATTGCTGGGGCTGTTAGTCCAGGAGGCCTGGGGACTGGAATTGGCAACACTGAGGAAACCATGCTCTGCCTGTGGGTGACTTCAATAAGACAAAGCTAAAGAGCCCTGCCAGCTGACTGGTAATACAGCCATCAGACATCTCGGAGACTCTTTCATCCAACACTGTGCGGAACTCTTCGTGCACACAAATACTTAATAATATGAAAATATTAGTGCTTTACTTTTTTTTGAGACAGGTCTGATGTCGCTCAGGCTAGCCTCAAACTTGCTGCATAGGCAAGGGTGACCTGAAGAACTATTTTATTCCCTGCCTCCAACCCTGCAGGAATGAACGACTGTACTCTTTTTTTTTTTTAACTTCATACTTTAAAACTCATTATTAAATGAAAAGAACAGCTCCTGGGCCCTGGGCAGGCAGTCTGGGCAGCTAGCCCACCTGCTCATTTCTCTAAGACTCTGTCTTGAGGTGCAGAAATGACCTCTTCTGGCCCACGTCTTGATGTACAGGGCCAGTGACCTCTGCTGGCCCAAGTATTCAAATATTTGGTCCCCAGCTAGTGGTGCTGTTTCAGGAGGACTGAGGAGCCTTTGGGTGTGGGACCTCACTGGTAAAATAGGTCACTGACAGTGACCTATCGGAGGGCTAGTTGGGCCTGCTTCCTGGATGCCATGTGACGTAAGGAGCCTGGCCTCACATTCCCACACTGTGAACTATATGCTCTGCCTTCTCCACCAGGATAGACCGAAGACTCCGAAACTGTGAGGTGAAATTGACCTTTCTCACTTCAAGTGGCTCCTGTCAAGGTGTTTTGACACATTGGTTAGGAAAGTGACTGACTAATGTGAGGGCCTTTCTTGGGGTGAGAGGAGTCAGCTGCCAAAGACTCCGTTTCTCAAGTGATGGCCTATCAATCCATCAATGCTCAGGCAAGTCACTGGTGTTTCTGAGCTGTCTGTAAAATCAGCAAGATGCGGGTGGCCCTCCCTCCTCGCTGTGGTGAAACGGCCAGTGCCTCCCACACAAGTGGACGCCATTGGCTCAGGTGCCAGGGTTGAGGGGCCTTGGAGAGAGACAGAGGCATTGTCAAGTCTGAGACTGTACGGAGCCAGCCCTACACTCAGAGGCCCCTTAGCTTGCTGAGTATCAGAGTACATACTGAGTGTGTGTTACTGGTCCCATCTGCTGTCCTCCAAGAGGTGTGGGCTGGTAGCTAGGCTATGTATTGCTAACAAACTTTCCAGGGCTTTCCTATATCTCCTCACAAGCTCATAGTCATTTGCTAGGCTGTGAGCACCGGAAATCTATATGCCTTGTAGTCTGCCACAACAGACCTCGGAGTCTCTGCACACAATCTGAGAGGATGTAGCTAGGATGTTGGACATTTTGCTAAGTAGCTTCAAGCCTGCTTGCTTGATTCATAACTCATGGGAAAATATCCTTAGCCCCGTTTCATTTTTTTGTTTTGTTTATTTGTTTGTTTTCTCAAGACGGCGTTTCTCTGTGCAGCCTTGGCTGTCCTGGAACTCACTCTAGACCAGACTGACCTCGAACCCAGAGTGCTGGGATTAAAGGCTTGCACCACCACCACCCAGCTCCTTAGCCCCATTTTGTAAATGATGGAGTTGGCTTAGAGATGTGAAGAAGCTCAACCCAGACCACTTAGTAGTGAAGAATTCTGCTCCAAGCGTTCAAATTCTGCTCCAAGTTCCACACTCCAGCTCATTAAACCCAGTCATGTTACTTCTAGAAAGATTCTTAGCTTTAGGTTTCTCTCCTTGGGAGAAAATGAAATCTATGTTCTCTACCTGGAAGCAGAGCCATAGCTTATTATGTAAAAGTGCACACCACACAAGCTGGATGGCTTGAGTTGGAGTCTGTGGACACTTGTAAGAAGCCAGATACAGAGCCGGGCGTTGGTGGCGCACGCCTTTAATCCCAGCACTCGGGAGGCAGAGGCAGGTGGATCTCTGTGAGTTCGAGACCAGCCTGGACTACCAAGCGAGTTCCAGGACAGCCTCCAAAAGCCACAGAGAAACCCTGTCTCGAAAAACCAAAAAAAAAAAAAAAAAAAAAAAAAAAAGAAGCCAGATACAGTGGCCCGCATCTGTAATCCCAGGACTCCTATGGGAGATGGGAGGTGGAGACAGGAAAATTAGCTGGAAGCTTGCAGGCCAGCTAACCTGGAGCACACAGCTCTGCAGAGAGACAAAGGAGACTCTGCCTCAACCGGGCAGAAGGAGAAAACCTACTCCTGAGAGCTATTCTTAGACTTTTGTATGAGTACTGTGACTCATGCAAACATGCACACCTACACACACACACACACACACACACACACACACACACGCTTCCCAACCCTGCCCTCCAGCAGCTTCTTTACCTAGCAATGGTAAGAAATCTGTGAAGGATGCAGGTTTCCTCTCCTCACCACTTAATTTGATAGCATGACACAAAGACAGTTCCTCTCAGAGCAATTTCCAACACATGTGCACAAACTCTCCAAGTGTCACCCCACCATGTCAGCTCACTCACTCGTTTTGAGACAGGGTCTCATATAGACCAGGCTAGTCTGGAACTCTCTATGTAGATGAGGATGTCCTTGAACTTACGATTCTTCCCTAGTACTGGGACTAGAGGAAGGCAGCACCATGCCAGGCTTATGTACAAGGTTCTAGAGATCAAACCTACAGCCTTGTGCATGTGGGGTGGGTATGCTGCACCCCAGGGTAGGCAGGAGGGCTGCATGTCCTTAGCCCTTCAATCATTTTTCTTTCAGATATTCTGACAACCCCTGACTACAAAAAGTTCACTGGAGGTGGGTGGGGTAACACTGTTCATATTGAGCTAGCCTGGTCAGCTCAGTGGTCAAGCGGCCCTGTCTAGTTCAGGACTCGTGGTCTCCTTTTGATGAGAAGCAGCACCTGCCCTGGCCCGATTTCTGGCAGTGTTCAGACAAGGCAACCCCTGGAACACTTCTAACCTTCTACCTTTCTTAAACACCATTTTTTTCATCAATGAATAACCGTTTTAGAAATCCATTATGCTAATTAACACACCGGTGGATGCTGAACTAAGGCAGATAATTGAAGCACTTAGGCAACTTCCTCTGGAGTGTGGGGCTGTGATCTTTCAAACGTTAACTAACTGCTCCTACAATGAAGATGAATGTGTGTGTGTGTGTGTGTGTGCGTGCATGCGCGCTCGCGCACGCGCGCGCGCACACACACACACACACGCTTCCATTTGAGAAGCAAATTACAGCAACATGGCTGTCATAATAGCCAGTGTTTATTGAGACCTCCTGGTGTATCTGGTACCTTGCTGAGTGACCAAAACAGCAAAGTTACATCACTTGGTCCTCAGAGAAGAAACTGAGACCCTGTGAGAAAGTTCTGAGGCAGCCCCGCTTTGCTGCTGCAGAGAACCCTCCATTTTACCTATTCCAGGGGCTGGTTGCCTAGAAGACCTTAGAGGCCTCCTGGGAATCCCTCAGTCTTCAACATCAACCATTCCTCACTCTTGGCTCAAAACTTTGAAGGATAAATAAAATCCTGTTCTTCGGGAAGGATTTCACAGCATGACGTCTGGGCGTAATTGATTCTGAAGCAGCCCTGGGAATGCCCCTGTGAGACAGCCGGGCTCTATCTGCAAAGCAGCAGAGAGCCGTGCAGAGCTGCGCAGAGCACTGTGGCTCTAAGAGCCTGCCATGCCCACAGGGGGCCCTCACCGGGTGGCCCCTGATTCCTTCGGGGGGGGGCCTCTCAATGGACAGCCCTCTTCTCTCTTTTGACCTGCGTCTGGGTTTAAAGTTTAAGCAGGTCAGCAGCACACACCCCCGCCTCTGGTGCCTACAGGGCTCTCTCCTCCTGCGTGAGAGCTACCAGGACCAAAGCGTTACCACAGTGGACCACACAGCTGTCAGAAGAGAAAGAAGAATGGGTCCAAACAGGAGGGGAAGCTGCTCAGGACTCTGCTATCTAGTGAAGGGAGAACAGAGAGAACTAGCTGGGGGACTCACAAGGGTCTACCAGGAAGAGCAGCCTCAAGGCTGACTTCCGACATTTTCCGGCCCGAGGCAATAACTGCTGCCGCCCTGACCCTGTGCAGTAGACTGGAGAGATTAGGCTGAGGAGAAAGTGGACCTGTTTCTAGATGTTCAAAGTCTACTCGTTTTCTGTTCCTGCTGAAACCTCACACGTAAGCACGGAGCAGAGCTGCTTCACCCCTGCAGTCACATCGCTAGCCAGGCTGGAAGCGTGTGCAAAGCCGCTGAAAAAGACTCTACTTGCAAGTGTCCTCCTTGTTGGCACACTTCCATCCTTGGGGGTGGATTAGGCCTGCTGGAATCATTTCCCTTGCTTAGGGACCCCTGCAACGGGCAGCGTCGTCTTCTCATGGAAGGAAATCCACGATACCTACAGTCCTGGGAATCTGGGGTGGGGTGGGTGTGCTGCACCCCAGGGTAGGCAGGAGGGTAGCTGCCTGGAGTGTTCACAGAAATCTGCCTGCCACACACAGAGCGACACAGGGGAAACAGTCTCCTTGAGAAACTTCTCCAAGCTGAAGGATGGGAGGAGGCAGGAGCAGAAGGGGTCCATCTGGACCTATTTAGCCTCTGGAACCTGAGGCATACAGAGAGAAGGCCTGGCCCTTTGAAGCTGCTCCCTGAGAGCTGCCATAGGCCCCTTGATGGGCCGGCCCTGCCAGGCCTCCTGCTCAGGCCTGAGGCATCTTGGCAGGGATGGGTTGAGTCTGGCAGGTGAGTCAACACTTGGCTTCTGTCCTGGGCTTTCTTAGGAAGGGCCATGTTCCAGATTGGCAACCGTGCTCATGGAGGAGGAGGAGGAGGAGGAGGAGGGAAGAGATAAGCCAGGTTCTGGGGGGCCTTCCTGCCAGGTGGGCCACCTTCAGGGCCCTGAAGGTGGCATGGGGGAACCACGTGGAAACCAGAGACCTAGGAAAGCAGAGTGGTACCTCTGGCTGTAGGGTCAGGTAGATGACCCAGTCTGTTCCCCGGTCTGTGAGTGGGAAGTGTCATAGCCACACGGAAACTATGAAAGTGACACAGCCTGTTGCATGTAAAGTGTTCAGCACCAAGGCTGACATCCAGAGGTACCACGAAGCCCACATAAGAGACGCTATTAACCCACAGGGAAGAGCTTGGCAGGAAGAGACAACCAGACAAGGAGATTAGGTGAGGAGGTCAGGGAGACAGCCAACCCCTTTCATGAGAAACTCTCATGGTATCGGAATCCAAGCTGGTTGTTTATAATGGCCTTGGAATGAACCAAGCACAATTAACTGCTTAACGCCTGGCCACGATGGATCTCCATTGGACTCTACAGCAAATGTGGATATGATATGTAGTATAGCAGACTCTCAGGTAGCCAGATATGGTTTCTCCTTCCTGGTGAAACTGGAGAGGGAAAGGAGCACTGAAAGGGAAGCTTACTGGCTTACTCTCCATAGCTCGGTTGCAAAGGAAGAAAATGTGTCCAAACTCCTGTGGTGAAGACACATGGGAGGCTTCATGCAGGGTTCACTCTGCCCTCCGGCACTCACCATATTTCTTTAGCACATCTTGAGGATCTCTCCTCCAGCACCCTCACCTCCAACCTGCTCAGTGCTAACTCTGCCAGTTGCTCTGTAGAGAAACAAATGCATGACCTCAAGGGCAGGGCGGGTAAAAGCAAGACAGTGGCTCTACTGAGTGTGCTCCAGGGGTCCAGCGTTATTTGAACCAGCACAAAAGTAGTTATGCTTCCCATCAAGGACCAGCATCACTTAGTTTGATGGGATGTGTCCCCATGGACAACACCTTTACCTTGTTCAGTGGCCAAGACGAAAGGGTCTGAGCTCCCTCCACCCAGGCAGAGTAGCTGACAACCCTGAGCTGAGCTCTCATCCCCGTCAGAAGTGAATACAGGGAAACAGGCTTGAAGCTGCTACTGACACCTTGGGCATACTTATTCCAAGGACACCCAACATTGGGAAATCAAGCTTGCTGGGCACTGTCTTTATTGCTTGCTCTTTCCCTTTGCCCTTTTGCAAACCAGCAGGTACTCTCTGCTTTCTTCAGATTATATGCAACAGTTAAGTTGCCTTCCCAGCCTGGTGTGATATGATCTTTCAGTTCAAGTGCCAAGCACTGACAAGTGAGTCTTATTTCTCTTGTTTGAATGATGGAAACTCAGCGAGGCCTGTAAATCTCAGCTACTCAGGAGACTGAGGCAGGAGGATCACAAGCTCAAGGCTGCCTGGGCTATAGAGTGAATTCAAGGACAGCCCGGGCAACTTACACTCTGCCTCAAAGTAAAATTAGCTCAGTGATAGAATGCGTGCCCAGCATGTGTGAGACTGTAGGTGCAATTCTCAGTACAGGGGAGAGAGGAGGGGGGTACTTGGGCAGCTCAGGGACTAATGATGGACAGGGATGTGGGGTCACACAGCCTAAGTATGGCAGCTTAGATGGACCTCTTCCAACAGTTTCCAAGTCTTCATACCTGGGAAAAGGGTTAGCCCAGCACCTCCAAAATATCCATCTCTAACAATCACCAACCCAATTCAGCCATCACACATTCCCGTCACACAACTCCAAAGTGTTTCATATCTAGCCTGTTCCATAACATTCCTAAGTGGGCCAGAAGGGAACTTGTACATCATCACATCCTGGCTTTTTTTTCTAGAATGAACATTTCAGTGTTATTTCACAACTGTACGGCAATCCTGTTTTGCAAAACAAAGTCTCTTGTGGTTAATTAAATAATTATCTCTCATTTATCTTTTCAGCAGGCCTCAATTTTCATAGAGTAGGTTTGTTTGATGTGGGATACACCCCGGTGGGTGTTTCTAGGATAGCAGTATGCCATGGAATGAACAATTCAGTTAGCGACAGGAGAGCTAATGTCCTTGTGCAGGTTAGCAGGAAACCACGTGCCACTGGCTGAGTCCCCTACTTTTCATTAACTCTGGTCTCAGTCCCAGCTTTCCATTAGAGCTGAGAGCTCTGGTGTCTAAACCCACCAGACAGGCAGGCAGCAGCAGAGGCTGCACACACTATCCAGGCATGAAGAATAACAACAATAAGGCATTCATATTAGGAGAGAGGGTTCATTCATCACGGTTTGTTTACCCTCTCAACAACCCAATAGATTTGCTGTTGCTGTCCCCAGGGAAGCAGTGGGTGTACAGAAATCAGACTGCAGTGAGCTTTGCAGTCATGTAGGCTCCATTTCAAATCCCAGCCCAGGCCCTAGACTCCTCTGATCTGACAAGCCTGTATAGCCAGGACCCAGGCTAGCCCCCTAATTAGGAGCTTGGGACTGTTGGGCATGCACCTGTAGTCTCTGTGTTCTTGGATACTCGGAAGGCTGACAGGCTGAGGTGGGAGGATCACTTGAGTCCAGGAGTTCAAAGCTGGTGTGGGCACATATGAGATCTTGTCTCAAAAGCAGGGGCTGTGGGAGATAAGGGAGATGATCTAGTAAGTGTATAAGCCCCAGGTCCTCAGAAGTTACATAAAATACCAGCTGTGATGGTGGGCACTTGCAATCCCAGCACTGGGGAGATGAGGTAGGCAGATTCCTGGGGTTGGGTTGACTAGCCAGGATGAGAGATTCAGGCTAGTGAGTGCTAGCCAGGATGAGAGATTCAGGCTAGTGAGTGCCTTATCTCAATAAAAGGGGGTGGGGCGGGGGCAAAGGTGCCTAAGGAACAACAACTCAAGGTTCTCTTCTGGCCTCCACATGTGCACACTCCTATACACACATGTGTGGCTGCACATACACAATCCCCCATATCTTCAATAGTTCCAAAGTCTATTCTGCACTTCTCTAATTTCTTTTCTTCTAAAACGGGAATTAGCAAATCCTCATTACGCCATGTGGAAGAGTACCTGAAACAGATATGGAACGTATCTTGGAGCCCACAGGGCTCCATTTGTTTATTTCTGTACCACTGGTACCAGAGTATCATAGTGGACCAAGTCAACCTGGAGAACCCATGAGCAAAGCCAAGCTTTCTTCATTCCAAGAAGCAAGTGTCTCTTGGGCAGGGCCTGCTGAACCATCTTTTCCTTTTCAGACCCTCCCACTGTGAAGTGTCTGCTGTCCTATAGTATTGATCCACCCTTCACTAACTGTGCAAGTATGACTGCCAGATTAAGTTGCAGGGAAGAAGACAGGTGAATCTTTTTCCAGCATCTCTTTCAGTAAGAGTTGGCCATGTAACTAAGTTCTCGGTAAGGAATATAAAGTGAGTTAGAATGTGGGTAATGAATTTGGGAAGTGGAGAAAACACTAAGCAGCAAAGTAGATGCACGCTGGATCCCTAAAGGACTTGTGTTGTGGAATATTAGTTGAAGATATGCTACATTAGTTTATGTTGTGGAACATTTGTTTAGTGATGCAAAGATGTGTTGCATTCTTCTGTGTTGCATTTGTTTAACTCTGTGAAGCTGTGTTGCTTTGCCTGCCTAAGACAACCTGATTGGTCTAATAAAGACCTGAATGGGGGTAGCTAGGCAGGAGAGAGAAGTAGGCGAGGCTGGCAGGCAGGCAGAGAGAACAAATAGAAGAAGAGAGAGGACAAGAAGATGCTGGGGACCAGGCACCTGTCCACAAAGCCAGACATGAAATAAGAAGCAAAGAAAAGATATGCAGGAGCAGAGAAAGGTAAAAGTCCAGGAGCAAAAAGTAGACGGGATAATTTAAGTTAAAAAAAAAAAAGCTGGCTAGAAATAAGCCAAGCTAAAGCTGGGCATTCATAAGAAAGAAAAAGTATCTTTGTGATTATTTGGAAACTGGGTGGTGAGCCCCCGAAAGAGTAAGTTTAAAAAAAAAAACTACACTCATGCATGGAATTATCCCGGACTGTTCACCTGCTGCCTCCAGACAATGGCAGAGGAAAGTAGCACTTCCTCTCTGCTTACCAAAGTGCTGCTTGGGGGTTTCATTAATTTAGTAACACCCAAATTCAGTCCATTTTTAACTAATCCATTCAGTTTCCCTCTATCAGAATTCTTCTTTGGAGTTTGCCTTTAGCAAGAAAATTCGGGGAACCAAGACCAATCAGCTTTTCAGTATAGATCAGGCTTCAGAATGTAAATGTTTATAAACCAGAGCTAGCCCACTGTTATGCTTTGATTAGCTCAGATGGCATGGGGGGGTATCAAATTAGGAGTTGTTATGTTTTTCTTTCAGTTGCTGTGACAAACACCAGAACTCAAAGCAACCTGTGGAAGAAAAGGATTTAGTTGGCTTACATGTCCCACAATCCATCATTGAAGGAAGTACAGGCAGGGTTTCAAGCAGGAGCAAAGTCAGGAGCCATGCAGGAACACTGCTCACTGGCTTGCGTCCTCATGGCTTGCTCAGCCTGCTTTCTTATACAACCTGCCAAGGGTTGGCACTGCCCATAGTTGGAGAGGCTCTCCCACATCAATCATTAATCAAGAAATGCCCGGGCAGACTTGCTCACAGGTCAATCCGATAGAAGCAATTTCACAAATGTGGTTCACTCCTTCCAGTTAACTCTTTTTCAACATTTGCAAATGAAATAAGTCCACACAAAAGTAGGAAAGCCTGACTTTTCCTTAGAGGCCCAAAGAGCTGGACACTGGTCCTGCATTCTTGCTTGGCAAAAATCATCGATTGCCACATTGTCCTTTTGGACGCGGCAAAGGTGCTCCATCTAAATACTAGTCACCACGATTATCACCTGTGGCCAATGCTGGTGTCTCAAGGAGCCTTGGCATTTCAGAGCCTAGTAGTTGGACTTCCAACTCCCCACAGCCTATGGTCCTGTGTCTGAGGGCTTTCCCCAACACCCTGTAAATTTCTTGGGGTACAAGCATGACAGTCCAAAGAATAAGAGAACAAAAGTACTACCGGAGCACCTCTACAACCCCAACAGCAACCAATGGGAGGTGACATTAAGTCTCTCAGATCCATAGCCCTCTCATGTGTGGCTGAAGGGCAGTTTGGGCACAGGCTCCCAGAATTTGAGTGGCAGTTGCCCACAGATGGTTTAACCCACCCCTAACATGCCCTTTGTGGACTGGCTACCATTTCCCTGAATTACCTCCTAAATGAGTCACTTAGGGGCTGGGTATGTAGCTCAGTTGGTATAGTATTTGCCTAGTATGTTTAGGGCCCTAGATTTGAGCCACAGCACCAGATAGAAGCAGACATAGTAATATACACCCGTAACCCTAGCACAGGGAGGTGGAGGGTCTTTGTCAGCTACATAGAAAGTTCAGGGCCAGCCTAGGATGTATAAGATCCTATCTTAAAACCAAAATCAAGATGAACCACTCAGGCTCATGAGCCAAAGCTCCCAGGCTCACTGGTTCCAGGTGATTCTTAGCATTTATCATCATGCCCAGCTGTGGTTTTCCTCCTGTGGGAGTTATTTTCTGCATTTAATATTTACTGAAAGTGAATAAAATTTTTTTTTAAAAAAAAGGAAAGACATACCCAGAGGCAATGTGTTTGAGAACAAAACACACCAGAGTCTAAGTCCGCACAGGGGTACAGAATGCTCGCCCAGGCTTGCTCTGCTGAGTTCTTTGGTGTTGTGTGACTTCTGGCTATTTGTGTGAGCTCTAGTTTACTGCACTGAAAGCTCTGGTTAAAACTGAGGAATCCTTAGCTCTTGCCTTTGAATGAGCTTCCAAGATGAGGTAGGTGGCCATCTTGGACTACACTGAAGGTAAGAGATAGGGTGATAAGTCAGCTTCAGAGAAAGGAGGGCCAAGGAAGTCCCAGCCCTAACCTGGGCTGAAGTAAGAGATCTGATAATAGCATCACTGTAGAGGGCACAGACCTGTTCAAGATCTGAAAACTCCCCCGGAGTCTTCACCAGACTCTGATCCCCATCAGAGAACAGGTGCTCTTACGCTGCAAGTCTGGGTGTTTCTCCTGAGCTGGAGAGAACAGAAAGAGGTCAGAGCAATATTTTACTCTACCTTCCTTGTCGTTTGAGACAAGTTCCATGTATTATCCTAGGCTGGCTTTGATCTCTCTATGTAGCCAAGGACGACCTTGAACTTCCGATCCTCTTCCACTTCCTAAGTGGCGTGTGAGACCATATGGATTCTTGTGGTTCTGTGGATGAAACCCAGGACTTGCGCATGCTCAGCAAGCAGTCAGCCAGCTGAGCTGTGTCCCCAGCTCCACCTCATTTCCTCGTAATCCCCAGCGGGTAACAGACAGCTCACCACAACATGCCTAATACGCGCTTCTCTGAAGTCACCGCCCTACTGTACCTCAGCATGGCCCTGCCAGGAGGGGCACTGTGGTTCAATGCTCATATCTCAATGGAGATATTGAAAAGACACACCCCCTTTTTCCCTTGGCTTTTTTAGACAGTGTCTGTCTTAGTCAATGTTCTGGTGCTGTGAAGAGACACCATGACCTTGCAACTCTTACAAAGGACGGCATTTAGTTGGGGCTGTTTCAGAGATTTAGTCCTTTATCAGCATGGCAGGAAGCATGGCGGCACTCAAGGCAGACGTAGTGCTGGAGGAGATCAGAGTTCTGCACTGGGATCCGCAAGAAGCAGCAAGGGAGAGACACTGGGCCTGGCTTGGGCATTTGAATCAAAGTCCATCCCCAGGGACACATTTCCTCCACAAGGTTATACCCAGTCCAACAAGGCCACACCTCCTAATCCCTGTCAAGTAGCACCATTCCCTAATGACCAATCATTCAAATATATGAGCCCATGGGGGCTATTCCTATTCAAACCACCACATTCTACTCCCTGGCCCCCATAGGTTTATAGCCATATTATAATGAAAAAATGCATTCAGTTCAACTTCAAAAGTCCCCATAGTCTATCACGGCCTCAAAACTGTTTAAAATTCCAAAGTTCAACGTCTCTTCAGAGACTCATGGTGATCTCTTAACTGAAATCCCCTATAAAATCAAAATCTAAAGCAGATCACTTACTTCGAACATATAATGACACAAGATATACAATACTATTCGAAAAAGAAGAATTTGGTGCATAGTGAGGAAATACTGGACCAAAGAAAGACCCAAAAGCAATAGGCCAAACTCCAAACTCATGTTTGATGTCTAAACACTCTTCAGATCTCCAACTCCTTTCAGCTTTGTTGACTGCAACATGCTTTTTTAAACACACTTCTTTGTCTTGGGCTGGTTCCACTCCCTGTTAGCAGCTTTTCTCAGCAGGTATCCATGGCTCTGGCATCTCTAACATCGTAGGGTCTTCAGCGAAGTCCAGGCTTCACTTTCACAGCTTCACAGAACGTCTCTCTGGGCCTCCATGCAGGGACACCCCCAACGTGGGTGTCCAACGTGAAGGCCTCAGCGCTTTCTTTAGCCACAAAGGGAGATTCCACTTTCTTCCTTTTCTCTCTTTCTTTCTTCCCCCTTCCTTCTTTTTTCCTTCTTTCTATTTATTTATTTCCTTATTCATTTAATACAGTGGTTTGCCTGCACACCAGAAGAGGGCACCAGATCTCATTATAGATGGTTGTGAGGCACCATATGGTTGCTGGGAATTGAACTCAAGACCTCTGGAAGAACAGCCAGTGCTCTTAACCTCTGAGCCATCTCTCCAGCCCCATAACCCCTTTCTTATATCCTTGACTTTAAAGCCAGTACCACGTGGCCAAAGCCGCCAAGTTCTTCTGCTTGCTGAGGCTGCAACACGACCCCCTCATTCAGCTGCATCTATATCAGCTTTCTGTTTTCAGTGGATTCTTTCACTGCCTAGACTTTGCTTTCCTAGAACTCTCTCTGGGAACTAACATGGCTTTGAACTCAGAGATCCACCTGCTTCTGCCTCCTAAATGCTGGAATTAAAGGTATGAGCCACCATGCCCCTGCCCTAAGCTTTTCCCTAATTACTTTTCACAAGTTAGAAGTTTAGCTGGGTGAGGTCTTGTCCTGAGGCCACCACTCCCTTTATTCCATTCAGGGTCAGGCTTTAAAGCAAAATAAAACAACAACAACAACAAGACCCTTTTTATCTCCTTGAGCACCAGACTTGGCCCATTACACTTCCTAGTGCTCCTTTCTTCCTCAAACTGTATATTTTGTATTTTCCTTGCATAGCTTGCCCCTTTTAGTTATAGATCTATGTAAACATGGCCACTAGTAACTAAGTAACACAGTCAATACTAGGCTGTCTTGAAATCACCTCTGCCAATGCTGTCAATCCAAAATTTTAGCCTCAGGCAGATTTTTTTTTGGACAAGGGCAGAAAACAGCCACATTCTTCACCAAAACATCACAAGAATGGGCTCTGGGCCACTTAGTAATATTTGTTTCTGAAACCTCTTGAGGCAGGCTGTCATGGTCTATGTTGCTCTCAGCTCCACTATCTCCCATGTTCCTATTAGTATGATCAGTTATCCCTTCTTAAAGAGCTCAACTGCTTTCTTAATCCAAAGTTCCAAGGTCCACACTCTGCCAGCAAGCAGCATGGCCAAGCCTGTCATAGCAATACCCCATTCCTGGTCCCAACTTTTCACTATGTATCCTTGGCTGCCTTGGATTTCATTATGTAGACCAGGTTAGCTTCACATTCACAGAGATGTTCCTCTGCCTCTGCCTTCCCAAGTGCTGGGATTAAAGGCCAGTGTCTAAAAGGCACTTTAGCTGCAGGCTACTAGGTTGAGGTTGCTCAGCTATTCCTGCCCCACTTAGGAGCCACAAACTGGTAGAAGAATGTGAGCTCTAGAGCCAGCTTGCTCCTGTTCAACTCCTATTTACTGGCTGTGTGACTTTGTGCCATTCACTTAACCTTTCCATGCCTCCCTACCAAACAGGAATTTAGTGAGCCAGTGCATGCAGATTGTTTTGAACTGTATCTATATAAAGAAAGTGCTTAAAATGCAGAGATATTTTAGCTCTGGTAGGGAACTGAAAAAAAGAAAGGGAGATGAGAAAATCGAGAAAGATGTACACTAATATATCAACAATTTTGTAACTCCTTTGTCTTTGTCATACCTACTGTTTTTAAACAATAAAGTTATGCTGCAGTTTTTTTGTTGTTTTTTTTTTTTTGAGTCAGTTTCTCTGTGTAGTTCTGAGTGTCCTGTAACTCATTCTATAGACTAGGCTGGCCTTGAACTCAGAGATCTGCCTCTGCCTCCCCCGTGCAGGGACTTGGCTTGCCACTTCTAACTTTAGAGCTATAGGAAGAAAAAGAAAGCAGACCAAAAGAAATTTGTAAGGGCTGGAGAGATGGCTCACTGACTAAGAGCACTAGCTGCCCTTCTGGAGGATCTGGGTTCAATTCCCAGTATCTACAAGGCAGCTCATATATGGCTCTACTCCATTCCAAGGGGATCTGATGTCCTCTTCTGGCCTCTTGGGCACTGCATGCATGTGGTGC